TAAGAAAACACAAGAAAAAAAATTCTCCCTGACAAAGGCAAACACATAATAAGAGCAGAGAATCAACCAACCTTAAAGCTGATAAAAAAGTTAAAAGGCAAAAGTAAGATTATGTCTAATTATAACAATAAATTAAGGGATACACACAAATACACAAGAAGTAAAAAATAATGACAATAATATAAATGTGGATGGGGTGAGGAAGAGTGTAGTGATTTTAGAATGTGTTTGATCTTTTTTAAATTTCAGAAAGAGGAAGGGAGAGGGAGAGAGAGATAGAAACATCAATAATGAAAGAGCGTCATTGATCAGCTGCCTCCTGCCCACCCCCTGCTGGGGATCGAGCCCACAACTGGGAATCAAACTGCGATCTCCTGGATCATAAGTCGATGCTCGACTGCTGAGCCACGCAAGCTGGCCAGAATGTGTTCAATCTTAAGTGACTATTAACTTAAAATAGACTGCTATAAACATAGCTTGGTATATAGGAAGCACAAGATAACCATAAATCAAAATGTACAAAAGATATAAAAGAAATGCAGAGAAAGGATCCAGACAGAGCACTATAGAAAGTCATCAACATACTAGAGAAAGGAGAAAGAGAGTGAGAAAGGAACAGAGAAAAACTACAAAACAATCATAAAATAATTAATAAAATGGCAATAGCTACATACCTATAATTACTTTATATGTAAATAGACTAAATGCTCCAATTAAAACACATAAGGCGGACAAAACAAACAAACAAAAAAAACAAGACTCACATCTTTTGCCTCCAAGAGACCCACTTCAGATCAAAAGACATACAGGCTGAAAGTAAAGGATTTGAAAAAGAGATTTTGTTCAAAATGAAAGAAGAAAAAAAAGCTGAGGTAGCAATGCTTATATCAACAAAATAAACTTTAAAACAAGGGCTATAACAAGAGACAAAGAAGGGCATTTCAAAATGATAAAGGAATAAATTATACAAGAGGATATAACTATCATAAATATTTATGCACCCAACATAGGATCACCTAAATATATAAAGCAAATTAATGATGGCCATAAAAGGAGTGAAGGACAGTAATGGACTCACAGTATGGGACTTTGACACCCCATTGACATCAATGGATAGATTGTCCAGAGAGAAAATCAACAAGGAAATAAAGGCCTTAAATGACACATTAGACCACAGAAACTTAATTGATATTTTAGGACATTTTGCCAAAAAGTAGGAAGATATACATTATTTTCAAGTGCACATAAAATATTTTCAAGGGCAGACCACAAGTTAGGCCACAAAACAAGTCTCAACAACTTTACAAAGACTGAAATCATATCAAGCTTCTTTTCTGATCACAATCGTATGAAACTAGAAATCAGTTATAAGAACACTGAAAAATGCACAAACCCATGGAAGCTAAATAACATGCTTAAATAACACGTGGTTGCTAAACCATGGGTTAGCAACAAGAACAATAAAGAAATTAAAGGATACCTTGAGACAAATGAAAATAAAAACATAACCACCCAAACTCTATGGGATTCAGCCAGAGCAGTTCTAAGAGAGAAATTCATAATAATACCTGCCTATCTTAAGAACCGAGAAAAATCTTTGATTAGAAAAACAAACTTTATAAACCTATAGAGAAACTCATCAAGAAAAAAAGAGAGAGGGCCCAAATAAATAAAATAAGAAATGGAAAAGGAGCTATAAAACCAATGCCAAGGAAATACAAAGGATTATAAGGAAATAGTACAAATAATTACATGCCAACAAAGTAGACATCCTGGAAGAAATGGACAAATTCCTAGAAACATAGAATTGTCCATGTTGTATTAGGAAGAAACATAAAATCAGAACAGGCTTATAACTACTAATGAAATTGAATTGGTAATCAAAAAAGCTCCCAACAAACAAAAGCTGTGGACCTGATGCCTTCATAGGTACGTTTTACCAAACATTCCAAGAATTAATACCTATCTATGCTTCTCAACCTATTTCAAAAAATTGAAAAGAGGGAAGACCACCAAACTCATTTTATGAGGCCAGCATTACTATATGCCAAAACCAGAAAAAGACACTAAAAATAAAAAATAAAATTATAGGCCAATTTCATTGATGAACATAAAGGCAAAAACTCTCAACAAAATATTAAATTCAACAAAACATTAAAAAAAACTCTACACCATGATCAAGTGGGGTTTATTCCCAGGATGCAAAGTTGGTACCATATGTGCAAATCAATTATTGTTATACGCCACATTATCAAAATAAAGAATAAAAATCATATTGTTATAGCATAGTAAGAAGCTAGGAAAAGGTGGAACAGGTGGAATAGGGAGATTGAGACAGATAGTTTGAAGCAGTTTGAAGCCACCTAGTAAATCCTATCTTCCTAAACCAAGAGCACTTGAGAGTAAATGGTTTGTGTTAGTTGGGCCAGGTACAGAAAGTCAGGTTTGTGTCCACGGCTAGGGCACAGAAACTCATCAGGGCAGGAAGCCCCAGATGCCTAGCAAGGGGTGAAACTAGGAGAACAAGAACTTTGTCCCCAGGGTAACCTATCCTCCCCCAGCATATCTCTGGCCTTGCAGTTTAGAGCCACCCCAACCTTTTCCTCCCTAAAATAACGTCGAGGCCTCAGTTGTATTTCAGCTCCAGGCCCAGTTAAGCAGCGAAATCAGACCAGTGGCTCTGTGCTGCCTCAGGGCCAGCTGCATTGACTAGTGACCTCCTGCCTTGGCACCGACCAAGCAGTGGAGACCAGCACCCTGAAAGAGCACACCTGGAAAGCTGATGAATATTCTATTAAGCTTCTCCCCTAAGACCTTCCCTAAGATTCCCGCCTGCAAGAAAGAGACAAAGGACCCAGCGTGGGAGCTCTCCCCCACCCCCAGGGGAGCACACCAGTGCCATCTTCTTCCTTCTGAGAGGACCCCATGAGACTTGCAACCAGGGGAGCAATGGGCAGTGGCAGCTCATCTTGGGCTAACCCCCTGAACCTGTCTCCAAGGCCCCCTTTCTCTGACTTTCCAATGAGCCAAAGAGGCCAGCCTCGCCTCTCCTGTTGCTTCTTCTATGCCCTTCCATATTTTACTGTCCTAAGTATATTTTTGCTGTGGCCAATAAATTCTTGCTTTTTTATACTTTGTCTCTTGATTGAAATCTTTCCCTCAAGAAGACAAGAACCAAGGTCTCCTTATCATCTCCCCGGTAACAATGTGATCATATCAACAGATATAGAAAAAACACTGAGAAATGTTTCTACTAAATGTAGAAACTACTCAATAGTACATTCTGTCTGGGACATTCACAATATGTGCTACCATCTGGAGGCTCTGAGAGAATGGAGGGCAGTGAAAGAACTTTTTTTTTTTTTAACCCAGCATCGCCTGCTCTGTAAGTATATCTATTAATATCCACAGACTGCACTTTGGGAAATATTGACCAAGTTTTTCATAGTTACTTAACCTTTAAAGATTTCTCCTCTTCAGAGAATGGAGGCAGTGAGTTAGAGATAAAGACTTAGGATTCAGACAACCTGGGTTCAAACCTTAATTCTGCCATTTACCAGCTGTGTGGCCTTGAGAAAATAACCTTTTTATTTTATTTTACTTTTTAAAAAATATATCTTTATTGATTTCAGAGAGAGGAAGGGAGAGAGGGAGATAGAGAGGAACATCAATGATGAGTCATTAATTGGCTGCCTCCTGCACGCCCCCAACTGGAGATTGAGCCCCCGCAAGCTGGGCATGTGCCCTGACGGGGAATTGAACAGAGATCTCCTGGATCCTAGGTTGATGCTCAACCGCTGAGCCCCTCCCGGCATTGCATAACGTAACCTTTTTAAATGCCAGTCTTCCCATTTTTCAGATGGGCATCATAATAGTACCATTCTTATAGGGTTGTTGGGAAGATTTAAATAACTTCTATGAGGTACTTAGCACAGTACCCGGCAGGTAGAAAGTTCTCAAATTTTTAAATAATTATTATTGTATTGCTCCTATTAGAGATGGCTCAGGTGCCTACATTTTAGCTACTCGTAAACACGGGGGTCGTTCTTGTGATTTCTCTCCTTGACCTTGTCATCCCGAAGCAATGGGTTTGCACAGTTAATGAATCTCCCAGCAGGTCTCCTTTCCCATCAGAATCTGTTCCCAGATGTGATCTACCACATCAAAGTCTAAAGAAAATCTGGCTTGGAGGCAAATTGCAGAGATAAATTTATCTAATCTAGATCAGTTATCTAACCTATCTAACAAATTGACCTTCCATATAGTTCTGATTTTAAAGTCCTTTCCAGCGCTGCTTGGGCCAACTCCTTCACGTTCCCCCCTCTTTCACCTCGCAGCCGGTGTGCTCGCTTCGGGTTGTCCGGCTACACTTTACTAATCCACCAGTCCAACAAATGCTTCCTGCATCCCTAAGCGGTCCTTTAATTTACGCATCCCTCTGAGCGTCCAGTTCCAGGATAGGACTTTGGCAAAAGGCAGGGTCTGAATGTTTACACAACACGAGGAAAAGGAAACACTCAGCTTCTTTGGCCAGCTACCCGATAAAACAGCTGAAATTCAAGGAGCCCTTTTGATTAAGAGAGAGGGTGTGAGCGCTTCAGGCGGAAACCAGAGACCCAGTGACAAAGGTTGCGTGTTGTTTTTTTTTTCTAATGGCAAAGCACACCCTTTCCCCAAACCTTCTCCTTCTGAAAGCTGCTGACAGAGCTTTGGCAAAGGCTCCTCCCCCGGCCGGCTGATAAGTGAAGCCCAGTTTTATATTTAACTCCCTCCAGCGCCCGAGGGGTGGGGTGGGGATGCACTGCTTATAAGGGAGCTGTGACAGCTTTCTGGTCAGTCCCCCTCTTCCCGGCTCGCCCCTCCGCCCCACCCCCTGCTGGGCTCTCGGCCGGGAGTGCTGGGGGCGAGCGGAGCCGCGCGGCCGAGGCCGAGACCCGAGGAGCCAGCGCGGGGTGCGGGGCGAGCGCGATCCCGCTGTCTGAGCCGGGCAGTCCTTCCAGTCGGAACAGGGAAGCCTGCTGACGTTACTTAGCTCCATTTAACAGCTTTTCATGCGCAGCGTTTGACTTTGGAAACCAAAAAAAGATGAACTTTGCGGAGGGAGACGGCTCTAAGAGATACTGCATTCGAGGGAAGCACGTGGCCATCATCTGCGCGGCGGTGGCGGCCGTAGGGTTGATAGTGGGGCTGTCGGTGGGCTTGACCCGGTCGTGCGGCCTCCCCGAAGGGGCCCCTTCCGAGGCGCCCCCNCGAGGCGCCCCCCACCGCGAGCCCTCTGCCCTGCCCCCCCAGCGACGATGACAGCGGAGCCTGGAGGAACTTCAGGCTGCCGGACTTCATCACGCCCGTGCACTACGACCTGCAGGTGAAGCCCGAGATGGACCGGGACACCTACACCGGCACGGTGAGCATCGCCATCAACCTGACGGCGCCCACGCGGCACCTGTGGCTGCACCTGCGGGAGACCAGGGTGAGCGCGCCGCCGCTGCTCGCGCGGCCGTCGGGGGCGCCGGTG